ATTGCTGGTGTTGTGCCAAACTGTCTGGCAATGCAGACAGACTCTCCAGCCAGGAACCTCTGGGCAGTAACTGGCTGGCAGAAGTGTTTCTTACTTAAAAATGATTATACAGTAGAAATAAAAGAGCAATTTTACTGTAGAAGAAAACAACAGGTTTGTTTCAAACACAATGTGTAAGGTCAAAACAAACCATTTCATAAGGGTGCAGAAAAAGGCTTTTGTCAAGCCGTGACAAATCAGACGCTGTTAGCGCTTATGTACTGCCCTCGCCCCGTTTCTACCAGCTAATCTTCCAATGCCACACGGAACCAAAAATATTTCACTTTTGAGGCTAGCCTACGTTCTTAAAAAAGGACGGATCCATGGTTCACCCTATCGTTTGTAATGACTTAGTTGTTGGGCTGTTTTAGTGGCAAAGTAGAGCCACAAATTGAGGGGCTGAGCTTTTAATGCAGCACTACAGGTGAGGCTGTATTTGGCTGATGAGTTCAACACAATTTCTCCTGAATAATCTTTTTCAAGCAATATTCCTAATTCAGCCAATAGAAGCTTGTTTGTAAGCGTAACCCACTCCTGGATAAATGCACTTCTCTCTATAGCTTCTGGAGGAGCAGAGATCTCCTGAAAAATTCTATTTCCAGGAGAAGCTGTATATGTGAACGCGAACAGCCAAATTTCTTCGCTCAGACTTCACCTGGAGTTTCTCATCACAAACCACTAGTATTTTTTCCGCAGCAAGTCCGGGTGAGCTGATGTGAGAACGCCGCAAGATGTTCTTTGGAGAATTCCCCTCGAGCCAATAGGAGGGGGAGTGACGTTTATATTCTGTAACTGCTGCACGGTGCATAGAATGTATACACAAGACCACTACGGTTTCCGTGCACGTAATTAAAAGGCTGCATTATGTTTTCTGTTCGTCAGTATGTTGTTCTCTGCTATTTTGTTGATGTTGTCATTCCATTGTACTACATGTAGCATTGATATAAAGGCAAATATTCTCATTATAATGTCTTGTAGCTTTGTTTTTATCCATCACGTCTTACATCAGGAGACTCCCCCCCGCCCCCGACAGGGATAGTCTCCTGCTGTGAGGAGCATATGTGACTGCTCCTGGAATGATCTAGATATGTGCAGGAGTGCTTATGTGAAAACGGCTTCAGAGTCTGCATCAGTAGGTCTGTCTAGAGGTTAAACTTTCTCAAGTGCTTCAACAGCTGCACCAATTCCAATTTCCACAATGACCTTGTCATGGGACTCAGAACTTCTGTCTTTGGATGTTTTTTGTTCAGCACCCAGTACTTAGACTTTATTGGATGTGCGTGCCTTTTTGAAATGTTTGTACTCAGAACTGGGCTCAGGTACTGATTAACCTTACAATCAGACCAAATTGTTTCAAACAGTCCAACATTTCCAAATCATCACTGGATTTTGATTGTGGGGACCCTTTTGGTGCAATATTATAATCAAGAGAGTACAATAAATCTTCAAATGTTTTTTATAATGCAGTTATTTATCATCGTTTGTTTGTCGTTGGTCTAACAGATGCGTAGATTGTTGCTGCTGTGTTGATAGGATCTTGAAATGGTTTTCATTTTATCTTAATGATGTGAAAAGCAATCGTGTAAATAATCACTATGATAAGGAAAACACACTCAACCTTAACCCTAACCCTAACCCTAACCCCTGGCCCTAACCCATCAGATTAATGTAATGCAGCATGTGGTTAATGGTTAAAACAGCTTGATTTGGAGAAAGTTAGTGGAACCTGTGGATGATTTGACTCCTAGAAATAAAATCTCCTTTTGGAAAAGGGAAAATCACCTCTGTGGATAGTTTGGCTCCTGCTAAAAACCTTAAGAGGGATGAACAATAAAGGGTCATTTTGACACTCGTGTTTGTAAAGCGTAATCTTCCTTTTTGTCTTTTTTCTGTTAAATAGCTAAAAAAGAGGTATGGAGGAAATGACAGTTCAGCTGTTGAGTCATCTCTTGTGTGATTAGTTAGATAGATTTTTCAATGAAATCGTTCTCTCAGAATGTATACATTAGTATAAAATTACAAATTATTTAATTTTTCTGACACCTCTGACTTCAAAACTTTAAAAGAAGGTATAGTATCATTCACAGAATTTACTTAATAAAAAGGGAATTCCCCCCAGCTTCAATAAACTGCGAATGAAGTAAATTTACATGTGCACTAATAAATGGATACGATTTTTTTAAAGGTGTAATTTCCAGTTGAAAAATGAGAACATATAAATTAACGTGTGAATGCCTGTGTGTGTGTGTGTGTGTGTGTGTGTGCGTGTGTGTGTGTGTGTGTGTGTGTGTGTGTGTGTGTGAATGCTTGTGTGAATCCAGGGCAGCTCTAGATAGCAGTGTTAAATTAGACCATGATAATAAGCTGTGGGACTTAATGTGCTCCCTGAGGATTAGAGGAAGACTTCATCTGTCTCTGTCTTCATCACTGACCTGACACACCACACATGCACCTACACACACACACACACACACACACACACACACACACACACACACACACACACACACACACACACACACACACACACACACACAAGGAAGTAGTTAACACATGGTTTAAAATCTGTTATATGGATTGCTGGTTTTAGGTTGCACTGTTACTAGGGTGTAATCATAGTCTGTGTTAAATATGGACGTAGTCTCAGTGATGTCGTCACCCATTGGTTTCTGAAACAGGAACTGTTGAAGCCCATCTATGGCAGTGGCCATATTTGAAATGCTGTCTCAAACTATAAAGAATTGAGCCATTCATTAAAAATTTGTTATTGAACACACGTAAACATATTCATGTCCACTGACATTTTAGTATCGGTGTGTATGAATGTGTCCGCAATGGCTTCATTTTTCAACACCGGATGTTGCCATTTGTTATTCATAATGTAAAAGAAAAATAGAAAGAAAATAATGATTTGAAATCTCTTATGGTACTGGTAGGTTGGTTCTGTTCTTTGTTTCTCTTCCACATTGACATGAAGAGATTTGTTCAGTGGCATCAGCCAGCCACCCATCGTAGTGCACGTTCTGCCCGCTCGTCTCAAAGACTTTAAATGTTATGCTCCCCTGCCTGGGAGCTGGAGTCTGACATCACTTTCCTGCGTCGTCCACTTTGCCATTTTGTTTTCGAGTTGGTTTGAATTATGATCACTTTTTAGCACGGCAAGTTTGAAAACAAAAACAAAAAGCCTTTTCATTTTTATTTGAATGATGTCACACAATATGCATACATAGAGAGTAAAAGTATAATGCAAACTGGATGACTGAATATTCATTTTAAATATAGGTAAAATAATGCACCTATATTCTGAAAGTTAAAACATGTTTCTGTTACTGTATTTTCATTTTAAAATTAGCTTTTTCATTTGAATTATGATACAGATGTAGCGGGGCATTTTTTGAAAATGATAAAGCAAATGTAATTTTCTTCCTCATTTTAATTTAGTCAAAGAATGTGCATTTTTGAAGTTGAAAACTAAAATTCAAATTAGATAAATTAATCATCATTTTATTTTTGAGTCAAATAATACACCCATATTCTGAAAATTAAAAAGCATTTCTGTTAATGCATTTGAATTTTCAAATTAGCTTTATCATTTGAATTCTGATCACTAATCGCTTCCATAATTTCAAGGGTCGCAAGGTTCACCTCAATTGCTCGGTTGTGTCGATATGCCCTGTACGTTTCAAAAAAGATCAGACCCTACCTTTTATGCCATGCTACACAACTCCTTGTACAGTCTTTTGTAATGTCTTACATTGACTACTGCAACTCCTTACGGCAGGTCTCCCTTAAACACAGATTTAATCCAGAACGCAGCAGCACAACTGGTTTTCAACTAATCCAAAAGAGCATATGTCACTCTGCTGTTCATCTCCCTCCACTGGCACCCAGCTGCTGGTTGCACCAATTACAAAATCCTGTTGCTCCTTTAGAAATATGCCTACCTTAACTCCTTCATCCAGGTCTACACTCCCACCCACCTTCTCCCGCCAACAAGGCGCCTGGTCCTACTTTCACAACAGTGCCCTAAAGTTGCTCTTATTTTTCTGTAGTCTCCACACAGGCGGTGGAATGAATCACTAAACTCCATTTGTGACCAGCATTATGATCAGCATAGTCCATTTTCACCCCTAAGAAACAGCTGAAGGTCCAACTCTTTCATGAACAATAGTCATTTTAATGTTTAATTTTAATGTTAACGGGACATTTTACTTATATATATTTATATTTATTTAACATATATCCAAGCTCAAACCATAACATATGCAGTATACATCTATTTGAACTTTGATTGGTTGCTTCTTCTGCAAATAAGCCTATTTGAGCCTGTATTAAAAAATATAAAGTAACTTAAAATATAAATGACTTGCTTGTTGCAAAAAAGGTTTATTGGTGGCCTTTTTTTTTAAGGAAAAAGTGCTTAACTTGGGTGTGAGAGATCGATAAGGACACTCAAATCAGTAATGGTTTGTACATGATACGTGCTTCCATAATGCACATTCCAGTAATGAATACATCTCTTTATTGCTTATTTTGTCATGTATATGGTTCTTTCTACAAGTACTCTATTTCCCCCTTGCTTTAGCCTCTGTGCCTAATTACCTTTACGCTATCCACCAACCTGTGCTCTCCCTCTATCCCTCAGACTGTGCTGTTATCAATGAGAGTGCAGCAGTCAGGACACTGAATTAACAGCACTCCCTTAGTGTTTTATTGGCTCCCCCTACCTGCAGCCTGTTGGCATGACCACTGTTTTCTACTGCAATGGCCCAAATCCTCCTCCTCCACCAACAGCCACATCAACACTAAAATACTAACGGCAAATAAAAATAAAAAACGAGCCGACGAGAAAAACATTTGTGTGCAGATGTAACAGTTTGCTGTGATGTTTGAGTGAAAAGAGATTTTGTCTACTGCAAATAGTAACATGTCTCTTCCCCTCTCTGCTTTTCTCTTTGCAGTATGTGGCATTTGGGTCACTCTTCTTCATCCTCCTCTCTATCTCCACCTTCTGCTTGGAGACCCATGAAGCCTTCAACACCATCTACAATAAAACGGAGACAGTCATCGATGGAAACGTGACACGTGACGAGGTACAGTGAAGTTTTTGTGTACTGAATCAAAGAGACATCCACGGGGTCATGTATCCCTTATATGTATATCTTTAGTTTTGGAGGTTTGTTAAAGGCAAATTACAAAGAACTAAGCTGCATGGGCAAAGATGTCATGCCTTGTTGTCCCTATATGTCCATCACCTAAAATGCTCAATGCTGCATTTACTATAATGCAATCTGCATTATATTTTAATCAGACACTCTGCACATGCACTTATTCCATATGTTCCATCTGAAAACCCTTATAACATTGTACAGTTCACAAGAAGGATCTGTTTTCTTTATTATTATTATTATTGTTTATATTGTGGTTGTAGTAGTAGTACTTCTAGTAGTAGTAGTGTAGTAGTACTATAAGTATTTGTATGATTTTTATTGGTATCATTACTAGTATTATTACAAGGATGATGACTGTAGTAGGACTGGACTCAATCCTGGGTCAGGAAGGCACCAAATTATTGCTCCTGTTAGGCTGCGTAAGCTTGATGCAGAGGTAGGCAGAACATTAGGATCAATCTGGTATAAATTATTTAAGTTATTTATTTACGTATCTTGTGTATAAATAAAGCAAATTGTTAAAGGAACACAAATTGAATCTCAGAAGAGAAAATAGTAAGGCAACAGCCGTTTATTTGGTTTCCATGTTTTTCTTTCTTGTACATCAACTTTGAACAAAAATGGTTTTTGAAAAACAAAAACAGATGTAATCATAGTGGAATAATAGGATAGTGTTTTCTGTGTGCAACAAATTATGCAATCCGGACTTCGCCCTCAAGGTCTCTGTACTTGGGGTCTGCACACTGACTGCTAGGCTACCCAGGCCCTAAATCTGTAGTTTTAACAAAGATTGTAAAATAATTTCCATCATCAGATCCCAACATGACCTCTCCTCATGGCATGTTATATAGACTTTTACCTTTTTCTGAATTCATCAAATTTGTTTGCCATGTTAAGAAAAATGTCTGTTTTGTGCATCTCTTTGATTCTGTCCATGCATTAATTAATAAATGATTGATTAAATGAATGACAGCTTGATAAAATCAGCATACCCTTTCCTCTTTTCTTCCATCCTGCAGATCGTGTATGAGGTCGTCACTGATGGCTGGCTGACCTGGGTGGAAGGCACGTGTGTCATTTGGTTCACCATTGAGGTGATGATGCGTGTCCTCTTCTGCCCTGATAAGGGAGAATTCTTCCGCAGCGCCCTGAACATCATAGACTTTGTGGCCATTGTGCCATTCTACCTGGAGGTGGCACTAAGTGGCCTCTCCTCCAAAACAGCCAAAGACGTGCTGAGCTTCTTGCGTGTGGTGCGATTTGTTCGTATCCTGCGTATATTCAAGCTAACCCGCCATTTTGTTGGTTTACGAGTTCTTGGCCACACTCTGCGGGCGAGCACCAATGAGTTCCTGCTGCTCATTATCTTCTTGGCGCTGGGCGTCCTCATCTTTGCTACTATGATTTATTACGCTGAACGCATCGGTGCAGACCCTGATGATCCAACAGCTGCAGCCCACACAGCTTTCAAGAACATCCCCATTGGCTTCTGGTGGGCTGTGGTGACCATGACAACACTGGGCTATGGGGACATGTACCCTGAGACATGGTCTGGAATGCTGGTGGGTGCTCTCTGCGCCTTAGCTGGTGTGCTAACCATCGCCATGCCTGTGCCCGTCATTGTCAACAACTTCGGCATGTACTACTCCCTGGCCATGGCCAAGCAGAAGCTTCCCAAGAAGAGAAACAAGCACATCCCCAGAGCGCCGCAGCCAGGCAGTCCCAACTACTGCAAGCCAGATGCCCTGGCAATGGCAACTGCCTCACCGCACAGGCTGATGGGCAATGTTATTGGGCCAGGCATGGTGGGATCTGGCAGCATGATGGGCACTGGGGACTGCCCACTGGCACAGGAGGAGATCATAGAGATCAACAGGGCAGGTAAGTTGTTGAACAGAACTGGGATCAGGCATGTATGTCAGAGATTCCATGGTCCAAGTGTGTGGATGTGAGCATAGAATCCAAACCTCTGATAGCTTTTCTAAATGAACTGTCAAAGTGATGTATTAAGCACATAAAAAAACAACCTGATGACAAAAGTGCTTTTCAATCAAAGAAAGTGGAAAAATTTAAACAAAAACCACAATATAAGACCAAGTAAACCCACATACACAATTGACAAAAATGTTTAAAATAATTGAAGTATTTGATTAAAACAAATATGAACAGAGATAAAAGCATCGACAAAAGAGGTGTTAGGAAACCCCTGATTTTTAACTTAACATATGAATACAAAGGTGCATTCCCCCTATCCCTTTCCAACCCTGTGAAGGCTGTTTCGTCATGAGCCGGGGGTCTGGCCGAAGATTTCTGCCTTTTAATAAGGCAGTTTTTTCTTACCACTGTAACTTTTGCTGCTTTGCTAAAGTGCTCATGATGGATAGGCGGGGTCTTTGTAACATAGCAATAAGTAAGGTCTTTTACCTGCTTTTTGTAACATAACAACGAGTATGGTCTTTTTACCTGCTCTTTTGTAATGTTAACAGACAAAGAGTAAGGTATTTTACCTGCTTTTTACCTGAATTTTGCTTTAGGGGTTGAAGTGCAAGCTGTAAACTTGTCTTTTAAAGGACGAATATGTGATTTTTTTGATCCAGCAGATGTCGCCCTTGAGCACCAGCATGAAACCAAAACAACTCATGCAGTATTGTTGTGTTAGCATGCGAATGCTAGCGATCTATATTATACTTGTATCTTCACACTGCATGTAAATTTACCTGAAATGAGCGTGATCTAGAAACACAGTTAAGCAGTGAGTACAGTATGTTATTCTTCTTTGCTCTAGTCCCTCAATTAAACAACTTTTATGCGTGAGGTGATGAGCCTGCCTGCTGTCCTGGCGATGTAAACACGCTGTAGATATGGCTCAGAAATCTTGGAAAACATCACAGACAGCGGGACTTGGATGACACACTCATTGTAGACAGTCATGACTCACAGAGTTAGTTTCAGAGGATATACTTGATTTCTACATTTAAGTGTGAAAAATCATATATTCTTCCTGCACTATGTAGTTTCAGGCTAAAGCTTTGACTCTCTTTTTTTTATGCAGACATTTTAGTCTGCTCAGCAACAAGCGCACATCTCCCCTCTCGCTACTGTGCATCTGATTCTGACATTACTGACCAATAGCAGATAGGATGATAGGAATGTGGTATAATGAAAGAACTGAAACGCCTGTGAAAGCGTCTGAAAGATAGACCGAAGATTCCTTACGTATCTCCTCACCCGCGACGGGATACACATAGTGGGGCTGAGACAGACAAAGACGGTCCGACTGACCGGGTTATTATTTTTTATTCTGGTATACCAGTGCTCGATCGCCTACCTTTGTTGGATTACTTTTGTTACATTTTTGGATGGACTGAGTTTGTTTTGGATGTGTGAACGGCCGCGTCAGCAGATGGCTTCCTTCTTTTTCTTTGGACTAAAAAGAGACTTAAAAGACAATTTAAACTGAACGTCCGTAGATCATATTGCATATTTCGACTTTTAGTTTATTTTGAATTCATAAAAGGGTAAATTAAAGGGATATTTTTGATGTAATTACTTTTTTTATTTAATGCAACGCACCGTGTGACGTAAATTACTCAGAGGACATAATCAAGGATTACAAAAGATTTAAGTTGGTAATCTATGATTTTTTGTTAATATCAAAGAAGTAGGCGATACAAATATTAAGTTTGGGTTGGGTTCCTTTTTGATAATTTTGACTCTATAGGTTGATCTTCCAAACGAATCCCTTGTGAGTTGCCGATTGTAAAAGGTTATGTTATGTGCGGCACGCTGCTCTCCTATGAAAGCAAAATAACGAAGACCTCGACGATGAACAGGCACCTGAAGAAGCCTGTCATTCAAACAACTCAAAATTGTTGTCGAAAACGTCAGTTATAACGGCCCACTTATTAAAATATCGTCGGGTTTAAATCGGGCTCGGGCTCATAATTACAGTTAATGGGTCGGGCTGGGCCAGGCTTTGACAGAATGTGCATGGGCTCGGGTAGGGTCGGGCTGGATTTTTTGGGCCCAATCTAAGCTTTATTTCAGGCTACAGATGAGGCAGAGCGACTTCAGCAAAATACATGCAGCTGGTTGCAACAAACCTGGGGTTGGAAAATCTCAGTTTTCCACAAACCCGATTTATTGATAAAATGGATTTATTAACCAGCCCTACATCTAGTACCACTTTCATACCCTTATGAGTCTCTCTCTATTCCAGGAACAAAACTAACAATAGAGATGTCAGATTTTCTATCGATCTCTTCCTTTTTTCAGATTGATTTTAGTCCATTGTTATCTCAAAATAGTGTTAAATGCACAATATTGGCGCTGTAGCTGACATCTTCAAATAGCATATTTTTTTTCTCAAATTAGGAACAATCAGAAAATTGGGATGGATAGAGAATTGGCTTAAAAAATGATCAGACCTAAAGATGGCTTTTGGAAGTATAGTTGGAGAATTACCTACACACTTTATTGAAGTAAAATCATATCATAAATTATGTTTCTTTTAATTTCATTGCAAAAGTCAATAAAGAGTGCAGGCTTCAGATGAATGTGTTGGAACAGGGTTGTGGGTTTTCTGTATTTGTATGTATTAGCATTGATGTGGTTTTAGACATGGTTTGGCGTGGTTAAAAGTAATTTACTGTTGCCAGACACGTGTCATCTCTGCTTCTTTACTTTACTACTTATAAAGTTTCAAATACTTATGTCAATCACTGGAGCTGCCTTAACAAATGTGATTATATTGAACTGCCAAGTTTTTCACTTTCTCATCAAAGTGATGACCAGAGGTCGGATTTCAAGCACTGAACTGTTGTGAGAAGTGCATCTCTGTTTTCATGCTGTAAATAACTTGCCGATGTCCTCGTTCCTTCATGAGGGGAGTGCACTAAACAAGATTTTAATATGCAACGGGATAAGAATGCTTATTACTTATTACTGACAAATTCATTTTCAGATTCTGTACTGCCAAGGCTGACATGTTAAGATAATCTCGGATTGGCTCTATATAGATATACAGTATTTTCTGTCTGTCTGAACATTGATCCAGGCCATATCATCTTGTCTCTGCTCTGCTGCTGACATGTCAATCATCAGCACGCAGCCAACTTTGTGCATATGTGTGTGTGTGTGTCTGTGTGTGTGTGTGTGTGTGTGTGTGTGTGTGTGTGTGTGTCTGTGTGTGTGTGTGTGTGCGTGTGCGTGTGTGTGTGTGTGATTGTTAGTTTGTTGCTTGTGGTGGAGTAATGTGTGTCTTTTTACAGACTTAAAGCTCTGTATTTACACATACAGCTCTGAGTTTGCTACACCTTCACACAGTTTGATAGCAAGCTAACATATGATAGCCTTGGCTCATCACCATTTACAGATAATGCAGCCAATAATATTATTTTCTATGTGGGCTGTGAATTGATTTTGCAACTAAATCATCGTGTGAAATGTTTTTTTATGGCTATGATCTTAGAAAAAAATACTTTACAAAAGAACAATAAACATGGAAACAATGCTATTAAATCATGAATGGTTAATATTACTATGACTATAACTTATCTGACCCATTCTAGTGCAGATCACTATTTACTCAGCTTAAGGTCTGCTGTGTGCTGCGGACTGTAATGACAGCAATTGAAAACAAATTGTGTTCAGCTAAATATTTCTGTAAACAAATGCAGACATGAAAAGAACAACACTGAGGGACTGACTGATTTGTAAAGTTTACTGCTTGCCCTGATGTTAGTCCTGCATTGCTCTGAGCAAGGTTGATGCAGAGAATGGACTGATTTGGCTGAACTCTATGACAGCCAGTTCTAACCCTATCTTTGATTATGGTGGTCAGAAAGACAATAAAACACTTGATTTAACTAGCAGTATGGGTGTGTGTGGTTGTGTGATTACCTCTTTGGCTATATCTATAGCTGTTGAGCATTAAATCATATCAGGTTAGGAGTGACAGCTGGTTTGAAAGATACAAACTCTTCTTTCAAACAGCCATCTCCTCTTGTGTGTGTGTATGTGTGTGTGTGTGTGTGTGTGTGTGTGTGTGTGTGTGTGTGTGTGTGTGTGTGTGTGTGTGTGTGTGTGCGTATGTATGTGTGTGTGTGCATATAACAGACTCCCATGCCTTAGTTTAGGTCCTCTCATTTAGTGCTGAATGATCGTAGCACATGAAGTGTGTGCGTGTTTGTGTATGTGTGCTTGCTCTGCTGCAGTGCGTTGGTCATGTGATCAGGACAGCTATCACGAGGCACTAACGCTCCTTTACCCCCCACCCCTCCCCCCTCCCTCCCTTCTCCTGCACTCCTCTTCTCTTTCGCTGTCTTTTATCCTTTTTTTTCCTTTTACCCTTTTTGATTTTATTTTTACCGTCCACTCTTTTTTCTCTCTCTGTACTTCGCTTTCATCTCACATTCTTTGGCTTCTGTTTCTCATCTCCAAATCCCTTCTCCTTGTCCTCCTCTGACTTGCTCCTCACTGCTCCTGGTCTTATCTCCATTTTCCATTTTTATTACTCTGATGCTCTCAACCACCCCTTCTCTATCCCCCCCTACCCACTCTCCCTGTGCTCCTCCTTCTCTCCCCTGACCATTAATCTTCTTTTTCTTTACCTTTCCTCCTCTTCACTCTCTCTCAACCCCCTCCACATCATCTTTATGCCTTGCCTCCTTTCCTTGCTTGTTTCTATTTATTGTTTTTTCTCTCTCTCTTCTCCTTCCTCTCCTGTTTTCTCTTTTCCCTTCATATTTCTCCACTTATCATCTTCTATTGACTTCATTCAATCTTTTTTACTCTCCCCATAACACCTTTTTTCTTATTATTTTCTCTGTTCTCCTCTTTTACCCCACTTTCTCACCTCATGCCTTTAACTGTTCCTCTCCTCTCCTCTCCTCTCCTCACCTCTCTTCTCCTCACCCTATCCCTTTTCTTTCCTATCGTCATCCACTTTCTTCCTTATCTTCAACTTCCTCCTCACACCTGCAACCTGTTTCTTCTTCCTTGCACTGTCTCTTGTTTTTTGTATCTTAATTTCTACCCCTTGCTATTCTTTACCCCCTTACCACTCAAAATCTACCCCTTGTCGCACCAACCCCTTCCAACAGACTCCAAACAGAATGGGGATGCAGCGGCCAATGCAGCAGCCTTGGCCAATGAGGACTGCCCCACCATTGACCAGGTCCTAGGGGACGAGCGTAGCCCAGCAACTGGGGGTCTTGGCTCCGTCACCAGCCGTGAGCGTTACCCGCATGACCGGGCCTGTTTCCTGCTGAGCACCGGGGAATTCCAGCGCACGACGGATGGGAACGTTCGGAAAGGTAGGAGGGTGGAGGGGGTCCTGTGGAGGATTGAAGGAGGGGAAGGAGTGGGGGGAGGGCAGTACTTGAGTGACAGCAGTGGGCTGTCGCTTGATGCATGGAACTGATTGATATGTGCTGACATGGTGTGTTGTGTGCAAAAACATTGTGAAACAGTCAAACATACATGTTACAAAAAACACACACACACCCTAATATACACATTCAGGGGAGGGTCAACTTAAGAAGAACAAAAGAACACCTTATAAACTTGTAAAAATGGATTTGACAGGTGTTAATGATTCCCTTGTGAACCCATCATTCACTGATACAGAGAAAATGAAGATGCAAAAGAACAAACATCATAGAATACATTTTGAAGAATGTGTGGAATGTAGGCCTTCAAAATAATTTACAAGTAAAAATCAAAAACACTCAAAAACACACTTTATTATTCCTTTTTTTCCTCACTCCCTCCATCACTTTGAGTCTGTGTCACCATGTCTGAACATGACCAGCTCTGTTCTGCAGCACAAACAACATATCAATGTCCATTGAACAACATTGATATTTCACTTAATGATTCTTATTATTAGCACCTAAAACTACAGCTGAAGTAGGAGAGGTCCCCTTCATGCATCTATCCCGCATCTTTGCTGCAGAGGTACTGCAGAGGCTGCTGCTGCAGCACTGCCATGTGGGCTAATGTTGAATTGACTGGATTTAATCCTCTGTAAAATATTATTATCAGACAGATTTCTGAATTGTGGTCAAAGAATGCTTTATTCACATTCTCCAGATCATTCAATATTGAGGTGGGTCAGCAATCATTCATCAATACTAAATACAAGAAAACATTTGTCTTCTGTGTGTTTTTTATTCTGTGTTCACTTTTTATTTGAACATGTGTACATAAAGTTTCATTTCAAAACAGGCCTTCGTTGAGATTTTAGTGTTCCTCTTATTTTTAATGCTGAGTGCTACATAGAAGATCTGTGTTTAATCTGTTTGTCTGTAATATCAACAAATCCCAAAGAAAGGCAGAAGATAGGCGTCATGTATGTTTCACATAAATTGTGCTTTTTTTCCCTTTGTGAATCTGATATATCTAGAAAATGCAACACAAAACCTCAGAAAGAAAGGTCAAGGGTGAGTGGATGGGCCAAAAACAAAAAAAAAAGTGAAAAATACTCACCTGTGTCCTTTTCCAAAATCTTCTTGAAGACAATAAAGAGCTCAAAGGGTGCATGTAGTGTTTCTCTGAGTCTTAGTGTTGAGGGCTTATACAAATGCCTATGTTGCTTTGACCATTGGTGTTTTAAACAAAACATAATTGTCTGGATGTTGCCTGAGTTAATCAGACTTCACACAATGTTATTTTGCTACTAGGAGGCCATCAGTTGTATCTCAATCTGCTAACACGGCTAACTAGGGACACATCAACCAAGGCCTTTGCCATTCTTAAATACACGATGTGTGTTCAAGCTTAATTTTTGTAATTATTCCTTACACATTTCTATACATACTGTACAATATTCATCTAGGTTTTACGTTTTCCAAGATTGAATTGTTCTTTTACACTCCAGTTTCCTTGCACTGGCACAATACAATTCCTTCTTTTTAACTTTTTATCTATACATACCAGCATTTTTGTTCAACACTTTCCATCTCCCTGTTATAACAAGTTTTGATTTGAATTATCTTTTCTATAACTTCTCAGGCTTCATCAAGCCAGAATAAGCTATATACTTTACATCAATAATTCCAGTCATCATCAACTGCACTTTGTCTTTTTGTGCTTTTTGCTTCAACAATTATTGAATGTTAGTATACTTACTAACATATAGACTTTATGCACAGTCATTTTTTGAAGGCTCAGCAATTTCTTAAAACAGTTGGGCAATTGTTACTCAAGCAGAAAAATATTTTTATTTTCATTATTTTTAATGCAGATATCAGATTGTTGATTTCAGGTGTGAAGCTCTTGGTTTGAGTCTCAGCCTTTCAACCACTTCAGGTCCATGTAAGTTTTAATTGGGTCAATTTTGAGAGTCAGAAATACTCTGAGCTTTTCTCAAAGCCTCTTGAAATTGAGCCTGCAATTGCAATTTTTATGTTAGACAATTTGACAGTTTCATTCAGCATCCACAAAACTCCCAAATGAGCCACTTCCATTCATTATAGTAAAAGCATAGTGTTGTTCATTTCTTGGGATTTGATGGAGTGATAATCAGAAAGAGGAAACAAAATACCTTAAGCCTCATCCTGAAACGTAGCTACTGTTGATCTATTAATGTTGAGGAATGTTTCGGTGTATCATTTTGAAATGAAACTCTTCATTATGTGAACTTACATTCTTAAGAATCTGATTTGGCAGATCAGATGAGAGTCACTCTGTCCTCAGTCATCAAATCAGACTTCTTTATTCTTTTGCTGTATCTCTTTCTTATTGTACCTCTTTTCATACTTTTCTAACTTTTTTTCATTATTTTACTAATTTCTCTCTCTGTTTGCTTCCGCCCACACTATCAACTGTCCATGTTCAACATTCTGACACTGCCTCTTCATCTCACTGTTGTATTTCCCTTTTTAATCCGCATCTACATGATTTCTACTGGTTAGGAACCCATCTTCCTTTTTATTTTTCCTTCTTCTGGCGACCATGACCTGCTAACACTGAATTAATGTTTACTTGTTTTCAAAATGTAACCCCTCACTTGTCATCTAGAGTATAACACTCTACACACATACCTCTATACACTCTCCACATGCTATTTCCTCTGACTCACACAACATACTCCAAAGTACACACCCCAACAGATGGCACGAACTCCGGCAGTGTGACATCCTCCCTGGTAGAGGAGTTGCTCCTCTGGCCAAAAAGGGGGCTCTGCTACAGCGAGAGCTCACTGTTAGCCCCACCTCCTTCTGGATCAAATCTCACAAACACATAGCAAAAAGTGGTGCAAAACCGTTCTGCAGTAAACAACACAACCCTTACCCCCCATAAATGTATAGATTAAACCTGATTAGACTCGATCAGATTCGTTATGAGTATGTCAACATTGAATGTAAGAGATTAGATACAAGTAGATTTGATTAAAAATTGTTAGATAAAGAGTTATAGACAGGATAACATTAAATTACACCAGCATACAACAAAACAGATCGGACCAGACATGACTAAATCCATTCGACTAAACTGGACTACAACTAATTAGAATGGACCGGTCTGCTTACATTTAATTCATGTTAAATCGAATACCGGACTAGACTTAGTTGTTCTGTTAATTTAAATTAGGTTATACCAGAGTGGGTTAAACAACAAAAGGCTAAACTAGACTAGATTGCACCCTGCTGGATTAGACTGTAATAAAGTTAAAATAATAAAAGAAGATTACGTTTGGGTGGAATTAATAATTCCTTTAGATGCAGTAGAATAGATGGGACTCCATTGTACTGTATAGGACAAAACGTTGGTTTATGAGATCATTGCATTATAGCTCTGCACATGTCGAATCAGTTTGAGTATATATGTGTAAGTGCCAGAACAATAAGAGAAACAGAAGACAACAAAAGTTGTATTTGACAGGAGGGATTAGTGCAAACAGCTAATGCACAGAATATGACCTCACAATTAAACAGAGTGAATAAGAGGAGAGTTCTGCATCCAGAAATACCAACATGATAAGGTCACACAACTCTGGTTTGTAAATGTACTTTGCTTACATAAAGCTTTTCTATCCCCTAACCCTCTACATTCCTATTCACAAACACATTTATAATTATTTACAATATGGGGTTCATGACACTTTGACTTGGAGTGGAAAGTCTGGGATAAACTGTAATCATGCAATTAGTAACTACTGAGCCACAGTCTCCTAATCTGAGGCCTCGCAACATAAAACAATCACCCTTACACACACACACACACACACACACACACACACACACACACACACACACACACACACACACACACACACACACACACACACACACACACACATAAACACAAACACAATTGAATGCAAAGAGGTGCATGAAGGGTGCTTTTTTTTATTGTAAAGCTCTTAAGTGTGGTTTCAGCATCATACAGTGAATACTAATTGTGTGTGCAGTGGGAGGCAAATGCATGGTTTGTGTATGTGTTTTTGTGTGTGTGCGTGTGTGTGTGTGTGTGTGTGTGTGTGTGTGTGTGTGCGTGTGTGTGTGATGCCCAGACACTACAAAATAGAAATTATAGTCTTATTTGCTTCACAAAAGACAATGGTTTTAGTAGATAGAATACATATCATGGATATAATCTAAAACATTTTTTTTAACATAATGTAAACAATCTAAGAGTCCATATAAGTCCATTTCATTTTAGTCACAGGCTTTCACCTTTCCAAACTATCATGATCCCATGTGCTACTGCTACATCTCGTTAGTGCTACTATTTTTAAAGTTGTTTAGCATTAAGATAGCATCAAGCAGGTTAGCTCCACTGGATGTCCTGTAGCTGGGCGTGCAGCATCCCCTCCTACAGCTAATACAAATAAAACACACATAATACATAGAGAATTAGTTTAACTTTGTATATGTGTCCCAATTTCACATTTGGAGATGGTTATTTAAAGAATGTCAGGAGAGAAATATTTGTTTTACACATGTATTATTGATATTGCTTTTTGCTGTATTACCAAGGCTATAAGAGTATAAGATTATATACATACATATTTGTAGTTATACCACAAGTTATTATGCACTAAAGGTGTTGATAATAGCATGATTGCAAATAAATTCATCTTAATGAATGCACTTGACAAGTTTTTTTTTTCAAATAATTTAGTTTTCATGATGAATCCTCAAGAAAATGTAAAAAGTGTTAATTCAAAAAAAGACTATTAATGTTCCATCTCCTGTTCAGAATTGTGACACAAATATGATGCCAGTCACACATATTTTAATTCACATGAACACTAACATTTTGATTCCTGAAGTTTAAACCTAAATAGTTTCATTAGAGGAATCAGCCC